TGGACACTAATAAAAGAAAATTTAATCATGTCTGCTTAGAAATTCGACGCTGTGCAAAAAATAATTGAAAAAAAGGAAAGAAAAGAAAAAGAAATTCGAAGCGGCACTGCGGCAGGGAACTGTAGTGACACGAGGTAAGTGTTGACCGAGGTTGGTCTGGGCTATGCCAATGTAACGTACAAGTATTGTGAAGGGGCTAAAGGTTGTATATGTGGCGTTGCCTGGCTCTTAGAAATTTATGATGTGTCATGTGAGTTTGGAATTTATTTAGGTTGCTAGTTCGCAGAAAGGAAATAAGTAATAAGATAATGATTTCTTTCCTTTTTTGTCCTACTAACTCAAAGGCAAAGTTACAAGTTGGCTACAAATAGAAGGGTTCGAGTCCAATATTCGGGTGAATGTGCATTTTTTTCCTTTTCTATTTCTCACTATAGAAAAAGAAATTCATTAAAAGAGAGAAAGAGCTACATTAATAGAGAACAAGGAGGCTCTAATTTCAAGTGGGGAAGTTGTTCATATCAGATCACTTGTGTCTTGTGTTTCTTCTCAATTCCCATGGCAACCATACATAAAATTTGTATTTTTTTGTTGTTTTATATAATTCTTATTTGCAGAATTCCACAGGAATAAGTTCTAAATTGATGCTATGACTCGAGAGGAATCCAAGGGCTGATAATTGTTGTTATTGTCCCTGCTTCTGCTGCCATCTCTATTTGCATCCATATTGTGTCGTCCAAGAGAGATGAAAAATTCTCAAAATGTTGAGCTGGAGGCAGCCAAGTTTCTGCATAAGCTTATACAAGAGTCTAAAGACGAGCCTACCAAATTAGCTGCAAAGCTTTATGTGGTTCGTAAGATTTTCTTTTATGATATTCATAGTTACTTTTCTGCGTATTTTTTGGCCTGTAATGCTAATATACCGCGTTTACATTTATTATATGGGAAATAAGCAGATTTTGCAGCATATGAGATCTAGTGGGAAAGAAGATTCAATGCCATATCAAGTTATATCAAGGTAAAGCCTCTACTGCTCCAATGATCTGTGAACTACCGTGCTTGCAATCTGCTTATGAGTGCAATAAACTTTTCTTACTGCATTAAATTTTTAAGAGGCACCGATCAAGATTATGACCATACTGTTTCTTTTCAAAATTTTATTTTTTTCTTAACAATTATGATTTATTAGAAAAAAGTAAGGTTCATCCATACATACAGTCTTTGGAAACTATTGTAATTGATCTCAAAAATAGCTGATCAGCTTATTGTTTGATTTGTTTCGTATCTTGTCTATTTCAATTGCTTTTTCCACAATGTTTCATACAATCTATCTTTATTCTCTGTTTATAATTTAATATTTTTTATGTTTCTATCATTTAAGGGCTATGGAGACTGTTATTAAACAACACAATCTTGATATTGAAGCTTTAATGTTGTCACGCCTTCCTGTGGCTGATGGAACACAAATTGGAGACTCCACATCTTTGCAATTAGCAGGTAAAACATCTTTCTTAGTCTCGCTCACACAAAATAGGGGGAAGAGTGAGAGAGAGAGAGAGAGAGAGATTTGGCTCACACATGGACAACAATAGCAGTATTTTGTTTAGCGCTATAGGTATAAGAGAGAGTGAGAGACACACACTTTTTTCATAAGCATATGGATGGCAAGAGCAGTATATTGCATTCCTCTGTAGATATTCATACCACAATGGTAGTATGGTAGTTATACATTGTGCTTGCATAATGTAAATGCAAGGTCTTCCCAGAGGCTTGGGGTTGCTAAATTCTGTAAAGAGAGTTCGCTGAAAATTAGATTCCGTCTTTTATTTGACCTTATTTGTATGTCAGTCTTGTCTCAAGTTCTGCCTAGTTTTAACAGCCGAGGAGGTGCTATGGACTTAATGAGAGGATAAAATATACAACAAATAAGGAAAGGTGATTTCAGAGGGCGCCGATCAAGAAATTGTCATTTCAACTGAATGAAGTTAGAAGTGTGGGCCTTTGTAATTGAGGAAATCTAGAATTGAAAAGTATCTTGTTTTGGTCCTGTTGGTTGTGTGCTTTATATATACCCTTGTAATGTTTGAGATATGCCTCATGGAGACTCTCTCTTGACAATGCATTGTACTTTGAGGTGCTTATTCAAGTGTATAGTG